TCTTCTTTTTCCCTCCTTCTTCTTCTTCTCCTCCTCCTCACCTCCGCCTCTTCCTCCTTCTTCTTCTGTTTTTTCTTCTTTTTCTTCTTCTTCCTCCTCCTCCTCTTTTTCGTTCTCTTCTTCGTTTACTTATTCTTCATCTTCCTCTCCATCCTCTTCTTCTTCTTCTTTTTCTTTTTCTTCTTCTTCTGTGTCTAAGTATAGACGGCGAAGGAAGGCATCTCATAACACCCTTAAAGCATGGGGCAGCCCGTGGGAACTGCAGCCGACGAGATAGGGTGACTTTCGTGAGTAGTACCCTATATTCTCCTTGGATACCGCCTTTGCTCGCATGGCAGGTTTTTTCTAGTTGTAACACATGTGTCGCTAGTTATGGCTGCGTTCTAACGAGAGAACTATCTCATCTCCATCTTCTCAATGACTCTGATGCTGGCTGATACTCCCACCATTTGTTTGACAGTGTTCTTTCTCACTAGGTCTCACGGATTTTGTCGCTTTTTCCTCAACCATCTCATCTCAAGAAGCTAATGAAAGCAAACCTCTATATACACCAATAAGAAAGAGACAAACACTGTTCTTTGGCCACACAACGAGAAGAGAGACATTGAAGAACACCGTGGCAACTGGACAGATCAGTGGGAAAAGGGGTAGAGGGACACCAAGAGAGACGATGCTGGATGGGCTGAAACGATGGCATGGAGGGATATCATCAAGAAAGCTGTTTCAGGCAACCAGGGATCGTGATCTGTGGAGATGTATGAGCGCCTACGCCAGTTGGCAGGGCACATGATGATGACAATGATCGCATCTCACAGGGGTTCATTTAACCTAGCGTGCCTTGGATAATTGCTGAATTTCGCACTGGTAGCATATGTTTGACATGAATATGCTATTTATAATCGGTTTGTTGACGGTCATACTTATGTTTGCATGCCCTAATAACAATGCCAGTTGGTAGATAACATCCCGTATATCCGGTAAAGTGGGTTTTCGATCAAAGAAAATCATTGTGGGGAATTGGTGAATCCACATGATAATGCCTTACCCATTATTTTTAAAAGCACTTTTTCTGCAGCAGCGTCTGAGACAGGGTCAACTATTACTGTACAGGATTAACTTATTTTCTGATAAAGGGTATATTGTAGAAATGCTTTTATTATCAGAAAGCTTACATATATTATAACCTCTTTTCCTTTGTATTTCTTTTGTCCTCTCACTGCCGTACACAACAATAGTATATAGCAAACACTGCGACACGTTATTGTGTGTGCCCTCATGTTGCTTACATATTGCCATTGTATGGTGAGAGGGGCAGGATAGCAGGGCGGGAGTGGCAATAAATAGCTTTGAGAAGCTTTCTTTCTGTTTTCTGGTACATAAAATATCTACCTGGATAAGTGGACACCTCAAGGGTGCCCTCTGCTGTTAGCAAGAACATCACAGAGCAGGGCACTCACTTGCTCCGGCAATCTAAATGTTTGCCGAAGGCTGAGGGCAAAGTCCTAAAAGCCGATAATAGTTACCTTCACAATCCGTAATTTTAATTCTTTTTGTCTCCAGTATGGTACTTTGAAAAAAAATATGTAAGCTGCACATCTTTAACATAATGTTGTAGAATAAATCCAACCTCGGTGGGGTGGGGGCGTAAAGGGAAAAAAAGGGGGGGGGGCAGTGTTTTTGATTTTACTAGGCAATTTTACGTCTAGTAGTTTACCATTAATGACTAAACGGTAGGCGCACAACAGCAGTGACGAAACAATCGCTAACAGAACGCCCTACTGTTCAAATCAAACCAGAGGTTCTTCACCAATAAGTCACCAAAAATATTTGGAGATCCACAGAATCCGGCACAGACCAATATTTTAGGGATGTTAAGACCGCGTATTTTGTGCCGACACGAACTTCGCGCGTTTCTTGCAGTGTGTCTCGTGTTTCCAAGGTTACGTTACCTCTGGAGTCTGTATTTTTGATCAGCGGTTTGCCGCATTCCGACATCTCTCCAGATCTACTAACGTGTAAAATTGTTCTAATTGTCTGTTCGTTATCTCAGCAGTAAATATCTAGAATAACATTGTCTTCTTCTCGTGAAAACTGGCTGGTGAAAACGCGTGTTCATATTCCACGATACCCCACAGCCTCACCCTACGTCCCACGAGAAAGTGCAACCTATGGTCTGACAATTGCATGCAGCCTAGGTCCTACGACTGCAGTCTGTGAAAACTGTTAATTACCAAAATTACAGTTCGATACACTGAAACTACCACCCCCTGATAAATGGGCTATGTCTTGACCAGGGGAATTTCCTTGGGAAACTCCTTGTTTGTGGTGACTTATAATTAAAGAACTGAACCCGATATTTCGGAATTACAAAGCTCTTTCGCAATACCATTGTCACAAACGTCGACCCAGTGTGGTTTACGAGGCATTAGATAATTGATGAAGTTACAAACCCAACCACATGACGTTGCTATAGGACGCCGTCAACAAGACACGACCTCAAGTGTCTGTCTATGCGTGGTCGCACATGTCAACATCCATTTTGTAAACACCTGCAGCAGAAGTCGGTTAGACAAGAGGCGGGAAAAACACTTTTACACTAAGGTCACGGACAGAAACATCTGTGGGTCGGATAAAAATTGTGTCAACAACGGAACGCTGCGCAGTATAATGTGAATGTGTTTGTTCAGTAAGATGGAGTTCACTGACTGATTGGTCAATGTTTTTTGCTTAATTGTAAATCTCTCAAGGTCATTGGTTCGGCTTCAAGCTCTGATCTCCAGTTACGAAGTGCAGGTATTTCCAGTGACGGCGACACAAAGAAAACGAGGGGGAGTGGGGCCTCAAGGGGGCCTAAGTCTTGTTTACTTGCGCAGTAATTATATATATATATATATATATATATATATATATATATATATATATATATATATATATATATATTTATATATATATATATAATGTAATGTTTGAAATAATATAAAATGTTTAAACAGATCACGCTACAGATGACAGCTTGTGAAAAGACGTACTCGCACGGCTAGTCACACACCACCACACCCCCCCCCCCTAACCACCTCTTTTACATAATTTACCAGCAGCTTTTAATTCTTCAATCGTAATATTATCTGGCCTTTAAGTGGCATTTTGATGCCAGTCAAAAAATTTGGGTACATTTAACGTCCCCCCCCCCCCAAAATAAAAAAAAACACTGGTTGTTTCGTCATTCATGCTTGCTGACCTTTCACACGCACTTGTCTATGCTACAGGGGTTTTACGTTGTTTTGTCTTCGACGCTCTCGCCTGCGATATCGTGTATTCTATATTACACGATGTGACCGCTTTTTTAGATCTCAAAACATCTAGAACTGGCCCTCCCCCTTCCCTCCCCTCCCCTAATCCCACAGCCTCAGCCTACATCCCAAGAGATAATGTAGCCTACTTTGCGTGGTTTGAAGTATATTTATGTCGTACTTGAAGTCCTAGAAGGCGATAACAAACGCAGTATCGCCGGCCGCTCACACTGTTAAGAAACAAAATATTCACAAAGTTATTTACCTTAGCTGCAAACTACTTCTTTTAGAAATTATTTACATCACTAATCACCGCGTAGTAGGCGGGAAAAGGATAAGAGGCAGACCAACAAAGACATGGATACAGAACTCGACTGACAGGACAGGCCTTAAGCATTAAACCATGAAGTCCATCTCACCTGACCGCTACAGGTCAGGGAGCTGTTCAGACAGTCAACGGCAACTGGTGACCTAATGACACGCAGTGTTGAGGGATGAGAAGATGATGAGTCAGCGCGAAGCTCAAGACAAATACAGAAAACCACGACACTGGGCTACGACCTGTGGCCACAATAGAAGAAGAATAAAGATACTGAAACATTGTTATATTTTCTGCCACCAACCTCATATTATTAACAATAACATTTATTGAATGTAAAGTTGTTGTTTTTTTTTTTTAAACAAAAACACTGCATTTTTTTTTTGGTTGAATCTAACAAAGATTTAGTACAACATTTGATCCCGATTTATAGACAAAACAAACACAATTAAAAACTGTTTACGCAGGTCCAGATCACAGATGAGTCAATCATTTATGACTTCCAAGGGAAGTTTTTCCCCGCTGACTTCTGTAAAGTTATCACACAAAACTAAACAAAAACCTCAAAATTCGTAAATTATAATATTTTTATTAAACACATCGGAAACTTGTATGAGCAGAGAATACGCATTGCAAATTATTAATGTTTGTATGTATATACTCCAGAACATCTGCGTAAACTGAACTATATAGTGCTAAACTTCACAAACTAAACTGCATAGTTTTAAACATCTTCATAAACTAAACTACATAGTGCTAAACATCTTCGTAAACTAAACTACGTAGTGCTAAACATCTTCGTAAATTAAACTGCATAATGCTAAAATTCAGAAACTAAACTTCGCAGTGGTAAACTTCACAAACTACACTGCATATTGCTAAATATCTGCGTAATCTAAATTTCATAGTGCTAAAGATCACAAACTAAACTGCGAAGTGCTAAACTTCACGAACTAAACTTCATAGTGCTAAACTTCTTCGTAAACTAAACTGCACAATTCTAAATATCTAAATAAACTCAACTACATAGTGCTAAACATCATCATAAACTTAACCGCACAGTTCTAAACACCTCCGTATAGTTAACTGCATAGTGCTATACTTCTTCGTAAACTTAACTGCATAATGCTAAACCTCTTTGTAAATTAAACTGCTTAGTTCTAGACATCTGTCTAAACTTAACTTTATAGTGCTAAACATCTTCACAAATTAACATGCATTGTGCTAAACGTCTTCATTAGCTTATCTCCATGTAGTTAAACATCTCGTTATTCTAAACTTCTCTTTGCTTAAAAAAAAAAAAAAAAACTCTTAAACTAAACCGGAGTGTTGAAGATCCCTCTAAACCAATCTGCAAATAGAAGCTGACAGTTGATTCTTTTACTGATTGTTCATTTCTTGGCATCTACGCCAAAACTGTCAGGTAAAGTCTTGTACAACCAAACACCGTTCACATTTCTGAAAAACTAAAATGAAAACAATCACGGTAAATTTCAGAAAAATATCTGTGACACTGGTTCTCAGTATTAAGGAGAATTTTTTTTTTTTTTTTATGTTTGAAAGTCTGATATGACAACATACTATTTAATAGTCACATTTGAAAAAGAAAATAAAAGAAGGGGGAAAAAGGGGGGAAGGAGGGGTTGGGGCGGGGGTGAATACACATAAAATAGAATCGCAAAAACCTAGGAAGGCTAACTCGGACAACAAAAGCATGTAGGAGTCGGATGTGTCGGCCGAAAGGCGCAAATTCGCATGCTGCAAACGGGCACAATGCATTTACGGCTTGGATGAACGCAGAGGAGGAGGAGGAAGAAGAAGAAGAAGAGAAAGAAGAAGAATTGAAAACACAGATTTTTGAGGTATATGTGTATGGGTGTGTGGTGTGTGTGTGATGCACATTCTACAACCGTTTTTACACCATATTAGCAAATAACATTATTTTTTTTTCTTTATCAGCATTACAAGCCCATGAGGTTCATTGCTGCAGATATCCCCCACATCCATTCATCTCTGTTACTGGCTTTCTCCTTCCAGTTTGGTGACTCACGTGTTTGTAGGTAGGTCTTGGCTGTCTTTTTAGTCTGCCTTGGGGTCTATTTCCATTCAACCTCTTTTGTGTGCACTGTTGTTGTCTCTCTATTATCCGTCATTCTCTCAATATACATTGGGTGACCATAATAGCTTCAATAAAAACGTGATATCCTTCTAATATTTTAAATGAAAACGGGACATCCCACTAACGTTTTAAATGAAACCGGGACATCCTACTAACATTTTGAATGAAAACGGGACATCCCACTAATATTTTCAATAAAAACTTAACATTCCACTTACATTTCGAATGAAAACGGGACGTCACACTCATATTTGGAATGAAAACGGGACGTCACACTCATATTTGGAATGAAAACGGGACGTCACACTCATATTTGGAATGAAAACGGGACGTCACACTTACACTTTGAATGAAAATGGAACGTCCCACATATTTTGAATAAAATATTTGTAGTGAAAACAAAGACGTCCGACTAATATTTTGAGCTAAAAATGGGGCATCACGGAAAAGTCAGTTTGAAGCTACGTTTCCTTGTTTTCTAGGTCGCCGAGGTGAAAGTGTTAATTACTTGCTCCTCAGTGGTATGAAAATCGGAACCATTGTCGACCAGAACAAATCTTAACATTGTGCTCTTTAACTGCACTGAAAACATTTTCTACAATGAAAATTGGGTTCTTAATTTATAACGTACCCCAAACACGAAATCCCCGTGGGAAATCCACAGCTGACCTGACAGTCCATTATTTCAAGGGGTGGAAGTGTGCTGTTGTGTGGGTCTTTTTTTTGAGTGTTCATCTAGTGTCTTCTAATGCTAACCCTAACCCTAACCCAAACCCTGACCCTAAACTTGGCTGTAGATAAATCGCGAGAAACTACAACCTGAACACCCTAGAATTTATTGGGAATGTCTCCCGTGACGTTGTCGTGACGTCAGGGGTAAGTTATAAATTAAGTACCGAAAATTGTTATCAACACATCTAAGTCGTTAAAAGTGTATAGAACTATGAAATCTAATATTAACAATATAACTATAGGCGTATGTTCTGTTCTCAAGCTAAATCCTAGATTTTTTTTAAACGGGACAACTGGTTTGGTAGTGTCGACTGGACGGCCAAAACACAACTAATTGAAAAAAAAAAAAAAAAAAGCATGTACTGTCCCAGTGAAAACAGAAGGATGGTCACCCTTTATATACACTAACCACTGCAGGTTTCTTAGCCCTCATGATGCAGGTAATTAACAGTGAATTAAACAGCTTGTGAATGTTTCGGCTGCTTCTCAGTCGCCAGTTTTCCACTGTAGATGCACTGGGGCCAACCTCCACAGTGGAGACGACACATTCAAAAAATTCACTGCGACAGATCAGCGACGAATATTTTTAAAAAAAAATTGACACGTGTCTTTCTCACTGTTGACCTGCAGCTCTTTCTTGTTCTTCTTCTTCTTTTTCTTCTTCTTTTTCTTCTTCTTCTTCTTCTGCTTCTTCTTCTTCTTCTTCTTCTTCTTCTTCTTCTTCTTCTTCTTCTTCTTCTTCTTCTTCTTCTTCTTCTTCTTCTTCTTCTTCTTCTTCTTCTTCTTCTTCTTCTTCTTCTTCTTCTCCTCCTCCTCCTCCTCCTCCCCCTTCGTACTCACCGGCTGTAAACTCCGGCAGAAAGTTCTGGTTCTTTGTCCACCTCTAGACTTAAGTCTTGTTCCAGAACCTCAGTATTGTGTGCACATCCCTTTTACATAATTGATTTATCTGTGTGCAGACTGTTGGTTCCACGCCTCTCAGGTAGATGCACTCAGATCTTGAAGGAACCCACCCCCTCCCTCCCCCAGTTAGTCCTCTTACAACATGCTTGTTTGGGAGGCTGTGGTCTGTTATTGCTTACCTCACAATGGACCCCGGTACCAACACGGGGAGCAGCCCTGTCGGAACGTCTTCATGTTATGAAATGTGTGTGTGTGTGTGGAGGGAGGGGGGAGTGGAGGTAGAGGCTGCTGCCTAAACATTATTGGGAGTGGTGGGCTTCCTACAGGTAGAAACTCATCTTCTCCGCCGTCATCCTTGAAAGCGGTTCCCAACCAGGGAAAAGGGAGAAGCGATCGATATCTTCTACGAAATCGCAGCGCGTGTGCATGAGAATCAAGGGACCAACAGTCTGCACACAAATAAATCACGTATAAAAAACGGATGTACCTGAAACACTCGTCAATGGGGGTAAAGACAAAAATCCAGAAGTGGAAGAAGAACCAGGACTTTCAGGATGGAAAATACAAAAAAAAAAAAAAATAACTTGAAGATAATCTTGAGACTTATAAAGTTATCACTGGTGCTATCATTACTTAGGTCCCTGAAAAAATGTTTCAAAATAAAGGACACAGCATTTGTCAATCCTGTAGGAAAAAAAAAAAAAAAAAAAAAAAACATTGAGTTTTGATATCATGGTGATAACTGTACTATCATGGAAGGATATCAAACTAAACTAAAAGTGGATCAGCGTTGTTGGCATTATTTGGCTTTTTATTCTTGACGGCCACACGTGTCTTTGATTCTACTGGCCGGACAACTACTTGACTGCTATTTAAATACTCCAGGTAAGTAAGTGATCTTGTATATTCTTGTCTGTACATGTGTTTTTGTTGACTTATTTAATGTATTGATGAATGCTCTTTAGCCGCGGTGTGACAGCGGCCACTCCCTGGTGACGGCGGCCACTCCCTGGTGATGGCAGCCACTCCCTGGTGACGGCGGCCACTCCCTGGTGACGGCGGCCATTCCCTGCTGAAGGCGGCCACTCCCTGGTGACGGCGGCCACTCCCTGGTGACGGCGGCCACTCACTGGTGACGGCGGCCACTTCCTGGTGACGGCGGCCACTCCCTGGTAACGGCTTTGACAGGCCGGCAAAACCAGGTGAGGGTGTCCGATGGTTTTTTTTTTTTAAATCAGTGAGTTAGGATCTGCCTATCCAAGCATGCAAGGATTACTGTCGGCAGAATACACGGAGGAAACCACATTTGGTTCAGAGTCAGGACGACTGGAGAAATGTCTAGGTGCAGTGGATGACCAGGGCGTTCTACGTGCCTCGCCATGCTTTTGGTGCTCCACAGCGCTTTGATAGTGTCGCCGTCTTGCCCGTTGAACCAAATATGGTTTCCTCCGTGTATTCTGCCGACAGTAATCCTTGCATGCTTGGATAGGCAGATCCTAACTCACTGATTTAAAAAAAAAAAAACATCGGACACCCTCACCTGGTTTTGCCGGCCTGTCAAAGCCGTCACCAGGGAGTGGCCGTCGTCACCAGGGAGTGGCCGCCGTCACACCGCGGCTCCAGAGCATTCATCAATACATTATATAAGTCAACAAAAACACATGTACAGACAAGTATACACAACATCACTTAACTGGCGTATTCCCAATAGCAGTCACGTAGTTGTCCGGCCAGTAGAATCAAAGACACGTGTGGCCGTCAAAAATAAATAGCCCAAAAATGGCAACAAATTTTTTTTTTTTATTTGGAGGGAGTGAGGGGGTGGACGCGCATGGGTGTTTTAAATGTGAACTCAAGCAATTTTAAAATTGAGCGCTTTTATACTTGTAAAAGATCACTGATAATTGTAATAACGAGTGTGGTTAAATGATGATGACAATAAATACCAAACGACGACCACTGTGAACGTGATAAAATCAACATAAATGGGCCCAGATTTTTTAAAACAAACCTTGGCTTCATATTCCACTCTGAGTTCACGTCGCCTTTGCTCCTCTTCTCTCTGTATGCTCTCTAGCTGCAACACAATTAAACATGCAGCTACATTGCAAGATGCTGCATACTTCAACTGTGATAGATGCTTGTAACTGTGATACACACTTCACTTTGTGATAGATGATTGTAACTGTGATACACACTTCACTTTGTGATAGATGATTGTAACTGTGATACACACTTCACTTTGTGATAGATGCTTGTAACTGTGATACACACTTCACTTTGTGATAGATGATTGTAACTGTGGCACACACTTCACTTTGTGATAGGTGCTTGTAACTGTGTCACACACTTCACTTTGTGATAGATGATTGTAACTGTGACACACAATTCACTTTGTGATAGATACTTAAATAATGTGATCCACACTTCTCTTTATAATAGATGATTGTAACTGTTTTACACACTTCACTTTGTGATAGATGCTTGTAACTGTGATACACACTTCACTTTGTGATAAATGCTTTCAACGGTCATCCACTCTTCACTTTGTGATAGATACCTAAATAATGATTCACACTTCGCTTGTAACAGACATTCCTAACTGTGATACATACTTCAATTAGAGATAAATACTTAAGCAGTGAATCATGCTTCACTTTGTGACATATATAACGAGCGTGATAGGTATATACTTCATTTTTGACAGATACTTCATTTGTGATAGGTATTTCTCTTGTGACAAATACTTCACTATGACAGATACTTTATTTGTGATAGGTATTTCTCTTGTGACAAATTCTTCACTATGACAGATACTTTATTTGTGATAGGTCATTTCTCTTGTGACAAATACTTCACTATGACAGATACTTTATTTGTGATAGGTATTTCTCTTGTGACAAATACTTCACTATGACAGATACTTTATTTGTGATATATAATTCATCTGTGATAGGTAGACGCACACCCCAGGATAACTACCACTTTATATTCATAGCGTGTATTACATTGACTGCCGGTATTTGTCCCATTTTAGGATTGGATCGGTGCGCTTCACAAAGCCAGGGTTTTGGGTTCGCTGCAGGCGATTTGGCAACCGACCGTCTGTAACTCAAGCCTGAGTCTGAAGATTCAGCGAAGTGCACGAACTCCTTTGCACCGGCAAGGATCCTGAAATACTTTGGGTATATTTTTAACTCCAAATTTTTGCCATGGCAGCGCTGTTATGCTACTCTTTTCGATTTCCAACTGACAAGGTATTTTTTACGTGCGCAACAATATACACAGATCTTAGTACCCAGAGACCAGGGGAAATAACTAGAAGTCCCGGTTTAAAAATCCCAGCCTTCGACGGGGTTTGAATCGGGACCTAAAGCACTCGAGGCGGATGCCATACCTCGAGACCACGCAGCCCCAAGCTTAACTCAGTGGAGGGGAAGACAAAGTAATGTTGGATACTTACATTCATCTTGAATTCAGTGGCTCTTTCCATGTCATGTTTGGATAAGGCCTCAGTGACGTCATGCCACAATCTCCGTGACTCGTACTCTCTCTGTTTCTCTAGAGGGCGCACGTGCTTGAGGTAGACTTTCAGTGTGTTTACGTCAATGATCTTTGTATCCTACAGTAGGAAATTACAATCCGTGTATCTGTCTATCTGTCGGTGGGTGGGTCGGTCTCTGTGTGTGTATGAATTGTTTCCTACAGTTGGAAATTACAATCCGTGTATCTGTCTATCTGTCGGTGGGTGGGTCGGTCTCTGTGTGTGTATGAATTGTTTCCTACAGTAGGAAATTACAATCCGTGTATCTGTCTATCTGTCGGTGGGTGGGTCGGTCTCTGTCTGTGTATGAATTGTTTCCTACAGTTGGAAATTACAATCCGTGTATCTGTCTATCTGTCGGTGGGTGGGTCGGTCTCTGTGTGTGTATGAATTGTTTCCTACAGTTGGAAATTACAATCCGTGTATCTGTCTATCTGTCGGTGGGTGGGTCGGTCTCTGTCTGTGTATGAATATACACAGTGAACGCTATACACACACACACACATGTATATTTACATACACAATATACATGTGTGTGTGTGTATGTGGGTGGCAGGGAGGGGGGGGAGGGTATTATTTAGGCATGAGCTACGTGTGCAGCTATAAAGGGTGGTACGATCTGGTAAACGTCAAAATGTACCTAGTGATAGCTTTTAACATTTTTATATTTGTATTGCCTTTGACATTATGAAACCCGCATGCCCGGCTCTCTAGCGAAGTTGGTTAAACCGGACTTCCGCGGCGGCCGGGTGACGAACTCCTTGTGGTCCGGGTTCACTCCCGGGGGTAGGCAGAAAAGCCACATTTCTCCCAGATTAATGGTACCTATAATGGAATCAAGGCCGAAGGGTTGCGATATCCATAGTACCGAGCCAAAGGGTTTACAACTCATGGTTTCTGGATACGTAAAAAAAAAAAAAAAATGAAACCCGCATTAGATCAGCGTTCCAGCACTAAAATATACAACAAAAACAGTTTGCGTCACATAAATAACTACATGGGAGGGGTGGGGTAACAGGGGGGTGGGGTGGTGGTACATACTAATCGCGGCTCTGTGTGCGTGAGTGTAAATGTGTGTGTGTGTGTGTGTGTGTGTGTGTGTGTGTGTGTGTGTGTGTGTGTGTGTGTGTGTGTGTGTGTCTGTGGTAGGTAGGTAACTGCTGTCTATAAGACTAATACCCTAAGGGTGGGAATGAAACAGGAACAAATTCCAGAAACGTCGATCAATCAATTTTATAGCCTAGTGATGCAAGGACACCCTTCGGTTAAATATGTGTCTGTGTGTGCGCTCAAGCGTGTGCGCGCGTGCTCGTGTGTGTGTGTGTGTCTGTGTGTATCCCTGTGTATCCGTGTGAGTGTGTATCGGTGTGTGTGTGTGTGCGCGCGCGCGTGTATGTATCTGTGTGTGTCTGTGTGTGTGTGTGTGTCTTTGTGTGTGTGTGTGTGTGTGTGTGTGTGTGTGTGTGTGTGTAAAGGTACATGTAGTCTTACAGCGGTTATTGCCCTTGCAGACAGCCAGTCAGTGAAAAGCTGGAATCACTGATATAGCCTAAAAACCAGGTATTACAATCGATAAAGAAGAGATTGAAAATG